GAGGCCTCTGCACCAGTCTGGGTGACAGAGTGAGACTCCAAGTAAAAAAAAAAAAAAAAAAAAAGAAGTCAACTGACAGATATCTCACCATCTACCCGAAAACACAAGGACCTTAAAACACTGTTAATTCCTACCTTCTAAGCTATCAGGGTTGGTTAATTGTTTTTAATCCCCTCTCAAATTGTTTGGCTTTTGCTTTATGGCCAACAAGATTTGTAATTAAATTTTTATAATTAGATTAATATGTTTGCTAATTTATTTTTCACCACTTCTCTTTGCAATTCCACTCCTTTGTACGACAATCAATTTGCTTCTCACAGTACATTTTTTAGTAATTAATTTAGTGAGGCTCTGTGAATGGCAAACTCTCTGAGACCTTGTTTGAAAATATCTTTATTTCATCCTTACTTCCTGAATAAAAATCAATTGTGATTTTTAATTGATATTAATATTATTCTGTTTTCAGCTGGAGTCTGTTGAGATTGATGAGAAGTTTACTATCAGTCTGTCATTCCCTTGTAGGTAATGTCTTTCTCTGGTTGCCTTACAAATTTTCCTTGTCCTTGATATTCTGCAGTTTGGCCATGATATGACTGGATATGGATTTGTTTTAACTTATCCTGCCCAAACTGAGCAGGTTACTTTAATTTGGAAATTCTTGTCTTTCCTCAATTATGAAAAGCTGGTAATATCATCCCTTAGAATCCTGCCTCTGCCGCATTCCCCCTATTTCCTCCTTTTGAAACTCCAATTTGGCAGAGGTTGGAGTCTTATTCTGCCCATGATTTCTTTTGTTTCAGGCCTTGTCTCCTTTATCACACTCCATCTTTTTCTCCCTGTGCTGCTACAGTCTTTTCAATTCTACAGACATACTGTCAAGTTAACAAGTACTCTCGTTAACTATGCAAATATGTTGTTTATCCTTCTACTTTCATTATTAAATAACAAGTCTGAAGTGATCTTGGGAGGGAAAGGGAAAAATGTACTATTGTTCCTCTTTTCTAAAATGCATATAGTTAACCCTTCAGTAAAAAATCTGCACATGATTCTTGACTCCCCAAATACTTATCAGCTTAGTCTATTGTTCACCAGAAGTCTTACTGATAACAGTCAATTAATAGATGTTTTGTTTGTTGTATGCATTATATTTCGTATTCTTATAATAGAGTAAGCTAGACAAAAGAAAATGTTAAGAAAATCCTAAGGAAGAGAAAATATATTTACAACATTGCACTGTATTTAAAAATACCATTAAGTTTATGTCGTCTGTTTACAAGATGAACTGTCTGTCTGAAATGGCAGTGAACCACAACTGCAGACCTTTATCTACAGTACATATCAAGCAATTCAACTTTTCCTTGTAACGTCATGACTTTCCTCTGCTTCTTGGGAATAGTTCCAGCATCGCTAGGGTTCCACAGTGTTATTCAAAGTTTTCAGTATAGCACTAAACACAGTGGAAAATACATGAGAATCATGAGGTCACTTTTTACTGGAATCACACTTTACTAGAGAGATAAACTGCTCACACGGAGATGATCAGTGTCACATGGTGCTTAAAGCAGATACACTTGAGTTCACTGCAATAACAACAGAGGTGGCCTAGAAATTATTGCATACATTTTAGGTAGTTGAGATTTAATACTGCTCTCTTATATTTGTTTATATTTCTCTAGACTGCAAATGGAACAATGCAGGGTGTAAGTGTTTGTGTGCCTTAGTTTTAATAAATTTTATCTTTTTGTAATAAAGTTGTATATATTTAATTATGATAGTAAATGATAAAACAGACTAGTATCTACATATATTTTATGCATTCATGACATACTAAACTTTTTCTTAGTTTTTCAATATTTCTACTCTATAAAGTGTGTCTGCAAGGCTTTTCAAATTGTTCTAGAACTCCAAACATTTGTTCAATATATTTATGGAAGAAAATCTATATAAGTGAACTTGTACAGTTCAAACTCGTGTTGTTCAAAGGCCAACTGTAATAGTTTAGAGGGATTTGCTAAGGGTTGAGGGAGATTAGCAATATAATAATGAACACACACACACATATACAAATATGCTATGTAATATACATGCATACATACATAGTCGTGTACCACTTTACTACGGGCATATATTCTGAGACACGCATTGTTAGGTGATTTTGTTGTTGTGCAAACAACCACAGGTGTACTTACACAAGCCTAGATGGTCTGGCCTTACTACATACCTAGGTTATATGGCATCGCCTATTCCTCCCAGGCTACAAACCTATACAACATATTTTTGTACTAAATACTATAGGCAAGTGTGATATAATGGTACAGTGTTTATCAAAACATAAAAAAGGTACAGTGAAAATACAGTATTATGATCTTACGTGACCGCTCTCATATATGTGGTCCACTGTTAACTGAAACTTATGCAGTACCTGACTGTATCATGCACTGTACATAATTGAATGTGTTATACTTCTTTTATACGCCTGGCAGAGAAGTAGGCCTGTTTATACCAGTATCACCACAAACATGAGTAATTGTTGTGCTACAATGTTATGATGGCTACAAGGTCACTAGGCGATAGGAATATTTTAGCTCTATTATAATCTTATAGGACTACCACCGTACATTCAGTCTGTCACTGATCAAAATGCTATTATATGGCGCATGACTGCATCTCTTAAATGTATCAACAAATCACCCCATTTTTGGTCAATGTAGAGTCTAAGTAAAGGGAAGATAGAGTCACATTTATTTTCCTTTTATAACTACAAATGAATCTCAATTGAATATTAAGTCATCAATTCACATAGAACATGGCTCAAATATATATAAAGTACATATACATGTCTGGAGGAGAGTATTACAGGTGGAGAGAACTGCAAATGCAATGGCCCTGTGGCAGGAAAGGGCTCCGCCTGACTGACAAATTGCAAGAGGGTAAGAGTAGAGACGTAATGGAAAAGAAGTGAAGTAGAAAGCAAGGCAAGGCTGGGCTCAGTGGATCATGCATGTCATCCCAGAGCTTTGGGAGGGAAAAGAGGGAGGACTGCTTGAGGCCAGGAGTTTAAGATCAGCCTGGGCAACATAGAGAGACCATGTCTCCGCAAAAAGTAATAAATTAGATGGTTGTGGTGGCACACACCTGTAGTCCTAGCCACTCAGGAGGCTGAGATAGGAGGATCGCTTGAACCTAGAATCCAGCCTGCACTGCAGCCTAAGCCACAGAGTGAGACTCTGTCTCCCAAAAAATAAAGAAATAAAAGAAAATGAATCAGATGAGGTGGTCAGATTTTAGATGAATATACGGCCTTTAACTCATAAGGTTTCTTTTATCCCAGGTGTAATGGGAAATGAATAGCACCTAAAATGTCCTTGAGAATGTTATTTAAACTTTACATTATTCCGTACGGTATTTTTAAAGTGAGAATTGTTAATAGATGTTATGACCTCATTTGGAACTTAAAAGTATTTCGTAAGTTACATTTTCTCATTTATTTGAAACTTAAGTTCTTTTATAAGAGTCAGGCTTTCTTATTTTTAAAACATATGCAAGATGACATAATAGGATGAGCAAATGTAATGATTACAAATGATATATAATCTGATGTAGTATCCTAGACAAAATTCTGTTTTAAGACTTCTGTATGTGAGAGATATATATTACAGAACACATAAAACATGTATGTAACCACCATGTAGGTAAAAAATAGAATATTGCCAGCACCTCAGAAACCTTGCTATCTGACTTTTTAAAAAAGAGCTTACTTAGGACTATAACCTGTGATAATTATCCACTTAAATGTCAACTGAAATCATGTGACCAATCTTTTTATGGCAAAAGGAATGTTCCCTTAAGTCCATATTTAATTTCAATATGGAAATTGAGTACATATCAACTTAAAATCTATTCACATTTCAGTACAGAGATGTACAATCTCTAAGGCATTAATTTTTAATTAAGAAAAGATATATCAGGTATATAAAAAACAGAATTATGGAGCTTGAAGGAATGTATACATTTTCATATGTTTCTGGGAAAGAAAACCTAATAGCAATAGGTTTAAGATAAAAAGCATTTGATTAAAGTAAAATCAAAGACATTCAAAACTTTAAGATCTCATTATGTGTTTCATTATAACAGATTAGGTAAAATGAGGAGACTTCTTGTTTCTGTGTAGCTTCTAGTATATGCGTAGCACTCGATAAATGTTAAACAATAAAATATGAATTAGGCTAATCACGGCATATCTAAAACACACTTTATTAAATTTGAGCCTATTTAAAATTTTATATTATAGAACTGGCATGTCACTGATTCATGACTTTTCTCAACATAAAAAAAACTAAATCTATGAAATGGAGATTTGTATCTTTAAATTAATGTTTTAGCAATAAACTACCAGAGAACTACAAATATGTACGGTCAAAATTAAACTAACAATATTTTAAAACAAAGAATTTCATATTAAAATTAGGTTTTTCTCTACAGAAGATTCTACAAGCCTTTTGTAAATGCGTTTGAAACAGTACAGAAAGAGAATGAAATGTAATAAATAAAAGCAAGCTATATAAAGATATACTAAACACGGATACAACTAACTGGACAACATGGATAAAAATAACATTTAGAAGCATCACTCTTAGTCTGCAGTGCAGCAGGACCTGAGATATGCTCACTCTAATTTATGCACATGATGGATAGCTTGTTAAGAGGCATATCTGTAACCAGCATAATTGATAGTAGCTGAAGGCAGTCAGGTCATAATTTCTATTTAATGGATGGGATAGTAAGGGAACAAAGTCTGCAGTTGCATTTTAAAATCAGTACCTAGAAAGTTTACATTTATGTCCAAAGTAATACCTACATTCTTGTCTTTTGCATGTTAAATTCTTTGAGAGAGGAGAAAAATCAGCTGCAGCAAGATTCATATATTATTCTATCAAAATCTTGATTTAACCAATAACTAGAAAAATCTTACAATAAGTAGAAAAGACTGTTCAACTAACCATTTGATGGTCCATTTCTGTGCTCTTGTTCTTTAGAACTTGCGGGAGAAGCAAATGGGCTCATTTGACAAGTTCCAGTTGTTGGAGAATGAGTTATAATACTTTTCTTCATTTTGATTTCTGAAGGATCAAATGACTGGAAATAAATAATTTGGGACAGAAATACTTATGTTTAGTGACAGAGCTTTGAAAATACACACCTTTAAAAGTCCAGCAAAATTCAAACCAAACACTTCCTTGGTCTTTCTTTTCAAATATACTCAATTATCACTCTCAAAGTAAAAACTATTCTTTCGAATTAGGTAGATAGTCCAGGTCACTACAATAACTAGGGCATCTCAATTTGATAACCATGAAATTTTAACATTAAGAGGTTGCTGCTTCTGAGATAGTACTTCTAAACAGGTTAGAGATAGCCAACTCGCCCAGCCACATCCTGACTTTTGCTTTCAGCAGAAGTTGACGTGTATTATGGGGATGGGCCAGGCCAGGAAAAGCCTCAGAGGTGCTTATTACTAAGACCCACAAGGAAATCCTAGGAAGGATCAGTGTTGTCCTCAGCCTTCACAAAGTGCTCTGATGCAGTATCTTGCTATCACTAATAACTAGAGTACTGTCCATACAATCGAGTCTGGCATTTAAGGCCTCTGAGAATTCAGCCATTTCTACAGAATTCCTCTCTGCAGCTTCCTCCTTTGTGTCCCCACAGGCATTGTGCATACCTCTTATCACAGGTAACATGTTTTAATAATTTTTCACTTTTCTATCTGCCACATGAAAAGTTTTTACCTGAAAATAAACATCATTTTTTCATCTTTGTACCCTAGAACTCAAAAGTGTATGAGGAATGAATGACTTGAACAGTCCAGTAAACTTGGCCACACCACTCTACTAAGAATATGCTCATTTGTTCATTGGCTTATTCATCCAAGATTCACTGGCACCTACAGCTTCCGTTGCTAGACTATGCACATTTGGGCCTCAGATTATTCTGTGACCTTATCTGGTCATGTCTTCTTTCTTATCTTCCCCAAGGCTTAGTCTTTAGTTTCTTTAGTTTAGGTCACCATTCATGATTCACTTCTGTCAAACATCTATTATTGTACCCCATCCTGAATTTCCCCAAAACTTGCTTTCCATGAGGCTTACAGATCACCCAACATTGTTAACTAACGTGTATACATTGTTCTGGCCTTTAAAAGAGTCTATCAAAAGTTAGACAGCAAAATTTAAATTAGTATGCATGCTACAGAAATTCAGAGAAGAGGGAAAATCAGTGGGCTGCAGTAACCTATCACAGAAAATATAATGCATAAAAAATATGAAGTCTAGAGGTAGAATAGATAGCATAGGATGAACATGGGGGATAAGGGAAAGGTCTGAAGGCTTATATGTTGCCAACATACTATAGAACGAGACAGCTTGGAAGTTAACTAGAAAAAGTTTCATAACTCTGTATGGTCAACAATCCTTTATTTTTAAGAGACCCATGGCAGAAATAGTGCTGTGTCACCTTTTTCAATAAACTTGGTATTAGTTCTAGAAGTTATAGCAGTTAAAAAGTTTTTTCTTATAGTTAAGATTTTAAATGGTAAGTATTTCTTTGTATTAGGGAACTAAGGCATTTTTTTATTTTATGTATCCACAGTAGCCACAAAGGTAAACAATATTTTTTTAAAAATCAAACTATAATATCAAGTTATAACTCTAAAGCAATCTTTTTTGTCAGGTGAAAGGGTTTTAAGTCTCTTCATCAGGTAGTTACCATTACCTCTCCATCTTGTGTTTTCACCTGCTTATATGTATCCAGCCATAAACTATAACATTTATCCAATCCCGACTCTACTTTTCCAAGAATTTATTGCCCAAAACTATTTCACTGTGTATGTACAAAAAATGAAAGTTGCCACCCTAATGTACATTTATGTCAGTCTGTTTTCCTATTTTCTCCAAAAGTTATTTTATCCAATTGCCAAATGTCTAAACATTTTAACTGTAGATCATACATTTCTCCTTGAAAATAATTTTCTAGCTTTTGGAAAATAACTCTGTGTGTGCATGTGTGCGTGCGTGTGTGTGTGTGTGTGTGTGTGTGTGTGTGTGTTGCCTCACTTGAAAAATACTGAGACCTCTCTCTTTTCTTCTTTTGGTCATTTGTTTTGGTTAAAAGGAAAAATGTCTGTCTATAACTGCTATATAGAAGGAAAACTGAAAATTTACCCTTTCCTGCTCTCCCACTAAATATTCTTCAGTAAATAATGCACTTTTCTACATCTGCCCTACTGGAGCACAAAGGCATAACCTCACTTCTCTAAGTTTTCCATAACGTTTTACCAAGCCCCTCTAACTTTTAGTCTCTCTGAAAATGTTTAAAAGTGATGCTAGAATCCAACTAAGAATGGATTGGATCTTTCCATTCTGCCATCCCCCAAATTGTGAACATCTTGGTATACTCATTAGTCTCCCACAACAGGAAGAATTAAAAAGACTGGGATTTGAGAGAAGACTGAGCTACTAATTGAGAAGCTGGCACACCTTCCACTCGGCAAGGATATATGCTGTTTACCAGAACCTTGAGAAGAACAGAGGAAGAAAAAATAAGAGGACTGGATCTGGCTAGACAAAAGAAAGGATTCAGGATGCAAACAAAATATTTTAAAAAATAGATGTCACAACCACTTCTGTAATAATTTACAACTGCTTCTTAATATTTATCGACTTCTTAGAGTTATTTAACACCACTGCTAAACAACAACAAAAAAAAATTGCCACATTCTAAGATTCTATGATCAGCTCAAATGCTACTATGCTTTTTGTAAGGAGGTCAAACATCGTACATTAGTAAAACTAAAATTTGGACATTGATTTTTCTGCCTAAAAAAAAAAAAAAAAGAAATCAATGTTCTCTCTATAATTTCAAATAGATATGACATTCTCCTTCAATACCTTTAAAAAATTGTAGCTTGCTTCATCACCTTGTTGAAAGCATATTCTACCAAAAAGTTGCCTGTATTTTATTGATCTTTTTACCTATTATAAACAGTCTACAAAGTACTAACTAAGGGTTCTTTCAGGATAAAATATGGGATATAAAGGATCTTCTATTTTTATTATAAACTACTAGCCTATGCTGAAATATTTAAAACATGATACTAGAGGTATTTGGACGACCAGAAACAAAAAGGCAGATACTTCTTTATAATCTTATACTGGATAACTAAGCTACTGAAATGAACCGCCCAAGAAATAATTATTAAGCACTCCTATTACTAATTATGGAATTTACATTAGAAAACTCTGGACACTAGCTGCCTCAGATACATCACAATTTGGCCCTAGGGCTTATAGAAGAGTACTACCAGCTGCCATATGACCATCCTTAATGGCTCTGTTAATGCTGGGCTTTGTTGTTTCTATGGTAGCTGTGGAGAACAGAAGCATTTTGCACTTATCTTGGTAATCTTGGCGGGG